ACAATTACAGCAAAAGAATTTATCCAAACAGATTTAGGGTAACCTCCCCTTGTTCACTTCCAGAAGAAAGAATGGAAAAAGATTGAGAAACGATAGAGTAAATGATAATTTTCTCAAGGATATGCAAAAGTAGCTTATTTGGGGTCAATTTCTAAATTTTGTGTGTTCTTATATTTTCCAATGTTAATTCTTATTCAGAAACCCTTAGAATATGTTTGTATAGGTGTCCTATCAAGTTACTAGATGTTTATAGCCGTTAGGCATCTAAAATTTTGAATTACATAAGCTTTAAGTCACTTAAAACAACAAGTATTCGATTACTTTTTATGCAGTATTCGATTACTTCTTCAAAGATATAAAGTATTTGATTATTGTTCATTAGGTAATCGATTACTTCTTCAAAGAACCAGGTAATCGATTACTTTCCAAAAGTATTCAATTACTTCATACAAAAACTTAGTTTTCAGCTATCATTTCGAATTTAATGAATCTAAGTGACTTCTAAATGATTTCTAGTGACATCTAGCATGTGTATGATCATGTCAAACACTTATATGACAACTCTTGATGTGTGTATGTGTTCTTGTATGCATGATCAAAGTGTATATGTCACCGATGCACGTGACCTATTAATGCAATCCTCAAGGTAAAGCTCAATAAACTTATTTCTACAAGTTCTAAAGACTTTAAAATAACTACTACAAATAGTAAGTCTAAGTCTTCTTTGGTCTTCACTTTGCTTTAATCATTGAGCCTTCTAGTACTTCTTTTAAACTTGAAATACTTTGACTTCTAGCTTGACTTTGCACATTTGAGTATCCTTATCCACTTTGCACTTGGCTTTGGTCTTTTAGTACCATTTCTGACTTGTTGCCATGTTTCCATTGAGGGCATCCATGTTAAGCTATGTTGGTCCATTATAGGTGCTTTGTTATCATCAAAACTTCAATATTATAGTCTTCATGATCTATGGTTCAACAGTAGATCTATCTCTGCTTGCTTCACCTAATATATCTATGGTCTAGAGTCCTATTGATACTGACAGTCCTTTCAAGGTCAATGGATGCATGTTGAAGTTATACCAGGAGATCTATCTCTCTTGCTTCACCTGATGATTAGACTCCTTACGTCAGGCTTGGGACGTAAAACAAGTGCTAATTAGGAGGTAACCCAATAAGTTTTCTTTGTTTTATATCATTTTTTTAGATTGATTTTATTCTTAATTTTAATTTTGACTAAGAGATGGTATATTTTGGTGTATCAATCTAGAATATTGAGGAACCAGGTAACAATTTTTAGAAAATGTTAGAAGTTTGTCACAACGCTAAAAGTGCCATCAGGCGCCAACCATCAAATCTCTTTGTAAGTTCGCACTATAAACCCCAAGGTGGCGCTTCCAGCGCTAGTCCCCAAGACTGTAAAACTCTTTTACTAGACCGGTGTGTTAACATTGATTATGATATTAAGCGCAGTTACAATCACAACAACTTATTTAAAAATACAAATTTTTTTCTTTTTATTACATATGCGATTAAAACAACCGTAAAATGAATACCCTTGTCCATATTAAAACCCCAATATGTCTATTGTGAATTCTAACCCTCAAAGCTCTATAAAAATTAACATAGGTAGAATAAAACTAACTAACTAATTAAATTATAAAGAAAATTTTTGGGGTTGAAAAATAAAAATGCTGAAAAAGAAAAAAAAGAAAAGAGGAAGAGAAAGATTGTATGTTAAAATTGTTTGTACTTATACTATGATTTTTCTATGTTCTAATTCTTTAGCCACATTTCCCTTGTTTATCCTACCCTTAGGCAAGCCTATTACAACCCTAATAAAGACCTCTTGAACTTCTGTGCATGTTACTTAACTATGAAAAGTGAGAATATAACATAGCTTATAGTATTATTAATTCAGTGAAGGTTTGAGTGAAACACCTACCCCCTTAGACACTTGAGCGATGAGTGACTTGATAATTCTAGTGGAGGGAGTGCTTAGATTCAGTTTATCTATGCTTGATTGATAGATATCTTATTGTGATTCTATGACCTACCTGTTTTTGGAACTGTTAGATTGGATGACTGTTCACAGAGTCTTGTTATTTTTCTGCTAAGTCTAATCACTGATGGATTGAATACTGTTTGATTTCTTTGTTGATGATTCATTGGGCACAAGATTCAAACTTTTGCATTTTTTCCATTTTGTTCTTAAATTAGTCCATTGATGGGGACAACATTGTGTAAATATGGGAAATATTGATAGCTATGAAACACATTATGTTTCTAGGACCAAAATTATGTTAAATGATGTTAAGACTGGTCAAGAACATGGTTTATGTGATTAAATGCAAAAGACTTAGAAGATTTTATGAATGGACATGATTTTGACTTCAAACTATATTGTTTTCAGGTTTAAAATGCTAAATCACAACATTGAGGGATCAATAAAGTTAGAAGAGAAAAAGTTCAAACCAAGAAATATTAGAATTTTATTATTTTATGCTCGCTGGCTTGCTCGCTTAAGCGAACAAGTCCAGTGAGCTTGTCCAATTATGCCTTCTCCTCGTTAGCTTGCTCGTTTAAGCGAGCAAGGCTAATGAGCAATCGTTTTTCCTCACGTGTTTGCTCGCTCGCCTCAGCAAGCAAACACAACGAGCTACTTGTAAACAAAGGCCCATGGACTTTCTTGATAAAAAGGAACGATTAGGGTTATTTCCATTTATTCTTGGCGCTCTGAGACAGTGCCCAGATCGTTACGCCTTTCGTGCGGGTCAGACCTTACCCGACAAGGAATTTAAAGTGAATTCTCCGTATATGCATAATATACATGGCATGTTATTTCATGATTCATTCAATTTAAAAAAGACCTAAAGTTAGGGATTACTCAATAGGTAATGTTGCTCCATTTTCCATATAAAAAGAGAATTTTGTTGTTACAATAGAAGCAGAAGTGATATCGATTATTCAAGAATCGAAGTAGAGATCGGTCAATAAGTGAAATAACAGGTCCCATAAGTGCATGATAAATAACGCCAAAGCCAATACTGCAGAAAAAATTAAGTGAAGTACTCTAGACACAAAGTATGGAAAGGTGTCTATAAACCCCCCCCCCCCCCCCCCGACCTACCCCCCAACCTAGAGTAGCTAGATGGGGAAGAAAAATTAAGCCTTCTTATTATTTTTCTTTTTTTCTTCCATCATTCCTTAAGTCCTACAGGTTTGATCTTGTAGAATCTGACCCATTTTCTCATTGAGCGAACGGTAAGAAATAAATTTGATGGATTTTTCAATCAAAAGTATTATGTGAAATCTGGATGCACGCCAATGGGACCCCCTTGAATAATTCTATCGGAAGGTTTTATTATTGATGAGAGTGACGATAGTGACCATATTGACAATAGTGACGATATCGAGCGCTATTAATAATAGTATAGTAATCAATTCCATAAATCTATGAACTCCCCCATAACCTAATAATATAATTTATTTATCTTATTATTGATTAAGACTAAGACGACTAATCCCTAAATACATCTATTCCATTTTTTCACCTATTCTGAGTGTAAGGATTTGCTCTAAATATTCCATTTCTATTCTATATTTTTATCCTTACTATTAGTAATAAATAAGAATAAAAAAATACAATGGATTTTAAATTTATACAAAATGCTTTTCTATTTCAAAAATATCGAATATATTTTTTACAACTTCTGCATAAAGATGTTCCATTTTCAAAATGTCTTCTTGACTGTTAATCAAGAGTTCAAATAATGTATTTATATTATATCAATATATTTCTATTTTAGAATATTGAAATCTGAAAACAGTGACATAAGAGTAATGTTCTAATTTATTGTGGGGTTAAAAAAAAGTAAAAAAAAAAAGTCTTCTTCACAATATACATAATATGATTGACAAGTACTTCGGTACAAAGAATCCTCTGAATAGGGGGTAAAAAAAGACTAAAAAGAAGCAAACATCACATCCTTGTACAATGCTCAAGGCTCGAGGCCGAGTAGCAGTCGCAACTTTTAATTTATTATGATCCTAAAAAGGCAGATAAGCAGTTTTCAGAGAGGAGAAGGAGGAAGACTGATCAAGAACCCACCATGGATCTCATTTATCAAGTTTTATCATGAACTTTCATCTCTTTTCTTGTTATGTTTTGCTATGAACATGTTAGGCTAGTTTCTTTATTGTAGTTAGGGTTACATAAAACCAACAGGTTCCTAACATTGTCTTTCCTTTCCTCTAAACTAATATTTAATTCCATGTTATGCAATTAAGTTATTTTTAATTCCTAGTTCGTTTGTGATCTAGCCGATCTTGAATGAACATTAAAATCTTGCATAACAATAGGGATGTTGGTGTTTGACTCCAATTGATTAATTGCTGGAGTTTGTATGATCTAGGGATTGACTTATGAATCCTATGACTTTATGATTCTTGTTCTTAATGCTTGCTCTTGGAGAGATCACTAAGGGATTAGGATTTTGAATAAAGTAAAAGACTAAATCACTAAGGGATTGGAGTTTAATTAATATAGAAAGAATCGTCAATAACATGTTCTTGAATATTGGTTATATGAACTGATGGATTTGTTAGGAAGACGTTGGGGAAATCAAATCCCTAGCTACGCCTTTGCATATTTGATTTCAAATAGTTTTGATTTCGTTTGTTCTTGATCTTGATAGTTAATTGTTAGTTTAAACTTCTGTTTTACAATTTAAATCATATCTCAAAACCTTTTACAATCGATCCAACTTTGATCACATAGATACGTTATTACTTTATACATCAATCTTCGTGGGAATGATAATCCTACTTTTACCATTTTATTACTCAGACGACTGATATACTTTTCATGATCGCAACAATCTCGATCTCTTCAATGCACAAAATTATGTTTCTCTAACAGTTTCTACTCGCTTCTATTCCAACATTATAATAACTACCAACGAGAAAGAAAGAAAAAAAGGAATTAAAGATATTGGCCTGTATATATTTTCAGCAGTACCGAACTGGACAGCTGAATTTGCATAACCTAATATTCCAATAAAAAGAAGGAAGAAGATATATTGTCTAAGAAGAGTTTACACAAACTTTAGATTTTACTTCTATGGACACAATTTTATTTTTGTATCAAAGGAGGAACTAAACTAGAAGTCCCTGATTGATGTATTGTTTTATGTGGAAAAGAACCTTCAAAAGGGAGTATATATTTGCATCTGACTCAAAATGTGTTCAAAGTTATCTGTTGTCTTCTCAATTGGGTGTGTATGCACTCCCTCATATGTTGTCACCACTACCCCCTCGTCTTTTGTTAGGCGTTGCACTTGCTTCTTCACATTGCACCCTTGATGCGTGCACCGGTAGTAGCTCCTACAAATAAAAGCAATTGAATTAGTACATTTATTTAGTCCATGTACTAAAGATGAAGAAGAATGATGATTTTCTATGATAATTCGGTGGAATATATAATAATTTATATGATATGTTTAATGGCATCAATCAATAATGTATATAAGAAAAGCGGGCAATGAAAAAGGTAAAAAATAAATAAATAGTGAGATAAACATGAAGCAAAAGTAAAACCACACATAACACAAGTTATCCTAATGATCTATTGAGAGAAAACAGTTACTGATATGACATAAAATCATCATCCAGATACTTTGCATAAGTAGACAAAAAATTGTGGATTTGTTTGATTATATCATTGATTATCATCCACCACATAGTTTCTTTGAGTTTGGATCGGATTATTTTTACATATAATAAATAAATAAATAAAAATTGCAGAAAATTTAAAGCAACGCCTTCAACATGTCCAGTTATCTCTTATGGAATCTTTACTAGCTATAAATAAGATCATACACTATGTTGTGTGTACGCATGGATGCATACACATGCTTCGTTTTCGTTTCTCTTCCTTTCTCTTTTGATTTGACCGTACACATGTGTCATCACATTCACATAAGAAGATTAAGACAAAGAAAAAGGGGTATAGGGTGAAGAAGAAAACCTAGCTAAGAGAAATAATTGAAGATCAAGTAAATATTTTCATTTGTTGTTTGGAGAATATCCTCAGCCAAAAATCCCAACGAAACAATTGAACCAAGACTTCTAGAATCGTCTTTTTTTATTGCCAGGTATGAACTCAAAAAAAACTTGTTAATATAGTTCAAAATTCAAAGGGGTGAGACTACGGTGGGGTCTATTTATATTCTTAGTAAAATCAAGCACGTATACACACCAAGTCAAATTTAGCAGGCGCCATTGCCACAAATAATCGCCTAGAAAACAAGACGAAGAAGAATCATAAGAAAAATTGAAAAATTAGAAAATAATTTTGGGAGAATCACTTCTACATAGTTTATAGCTTATATTATAGTACTCAAAATTGCCTAGAAAACAAGACGAAGAAGAATCATAAGAAAAATTAAAAAATTAGGAAATAATTTTCAGAGAATCGCCTCTATATAGTTATAGCTTATATGACAGTACTCAAATCAGATTAATTAGAAATCCAATAAAAAGGAAACAAATTATGAAAAAAAAAAAAAAAAAAAAAAACAAGGATCAAGAAACTCTTAACAAACCTGGGGAATTTGTTGTTTTTAACAGCTTTTTGACCATATTTCCTCCATCGATAACCATCATCAAGTATATCAACTTGACTCCTCGTTTGAAAAGCATATCTAGGCTTTTTAACCTTTTTCTCCCCTTTCTTTTTAATGCCTGAATCAGTCGCATTAATGCTTCCACTAATCTGAGAAAATATGCCATCTCTAGCATCTTCTTCTCTCTTCAGCAACTTCAGATTATTATGATCACTACTATCATTATTAGTAGGCTTCAAACCCAGAAATGCATGAGAGCTCTGACCATTACTAAAATCATTCTGAGAGCTTCCCACAGCACTCGTTGAAATTGGGTAGCTCGAAGAAGGTGGACAAGGAAACAACATAGAATAATTATTCTCCATCGAATGTGCTTATAGAGCTAGAAAGAAAAAAAAAATAAAAGACCTAAGAAGGAGGTAAGGAAAAGTGAAGGAGGAATGTTTAAGGTAAAAAAAGGTGAAGAAGAGTTAATATAAATGGTAGGGGCGGCGCTTAATGTTAGCGTGGTCATATAATAGGATACATACACCGAATGTGAGGAAAGAGAAAAGAAAGTCCAAAGGGTTATATATACAGTACCATAGTGTCGTAAACGACACGAAAATTGTTCAAACGTGTGTTGTGAAAACTCAGTTTCATTTCTTATCAGCAGCATAGGGGGTTATATTGGAATAATCAAGAGTCTAAGGTGGAATTGTGAGGCGGCTTCATGATTAGGATAAAGACATTAAAACTGTATTATTATTATTTTTTGTGTATTTCAGATCCCAAAGCCAATCAACTATATATAGTATTTTTCTGATTTTTTAATTGATTAATTTATTTATTTGGTCAAAAACTATAAGTGCGGCAAAGTTCTTATTTCTTAAATTTTTAGCATAATTGCATACCGAAGGAGCCAAGGAGGGGTATGGGTAGATAGATATTTTTCCTAAAAATATTTTAATATTATATATAAATGATATTTTTATAATAATAATAGATTATTAGTCCTAATAATTAGTCTCTCCTTAAAAAATAACATTTATAATATATTTTCGTCTCCTGTCATAAATTTTTTTGAATTCGCCATCATACCAGAACTCGAATTCGAAACAATATCATGTCAGTTAATCTACCTCCTTGGTGATTTATATAGTATCATTTTTAAATTTGAATTATGGAGATATAACATGATGACGGTGTCTACTCTATGCTAGTGGGCCAATTATAATTAATGCGATAATAAAGATTAATTGAGATTTCAACTCTTTGCAGGTGGTGATTGTAAGTGGTCATAGTTTGTGAAAATTGTGGTTTGTCTTTTGTTTGTGGTAGTCTTGGTGAAGACTAGAAGCAGTTTTATTTGGACTTATAAATAAATATGTAAATTATTGACACAGTTCACACGTGTATAATTTTAATTTAATGTAATAAAGTTTTTTGGTGAGGGAGAGAGAGTGGGCGGGTACAATGTTTTGATGTATAGTGCATGTCTGCGGAACATGGCAGCTTCCATGAAATAACTAGATGCCGGAGGAAACGATAATTGCGTGCTAACTCGAGTGATTTAAGGTAGGTGAACATTTAATAAAGGGCTTTGTTTTTTTCCTTTCACGTGAGAAAAAGAATTCTACTACACACACATCTTTAAGGTAGGTCCCACCATTAAGAAATAAAAATAAAAAACAATGCACACATATCGATGTATGAGTGATATGAGAAATGCTTTCTCCATCAACATAAGAAAGTATTTTCCCTTTAATAAAAGACATATTTGAGGGTTAATGTTTTATTGGTATGAAATAAATTTTATTTCCTACACATATACAAAAGTAAATGAGCTTATATGAAGAGAAGAAAGGAAGAAAAAACATGGACCCACATGAGCTACACACGCTCTCGCGCGCGCGCGCACACATACATACATATATACATATATGGGGAGAGTTCTTTTGACTCCAGAGTAAGATTTGTAAGTCTTACTCTCCCATCTCAGTCGTTGATGGACAGAAATCAACGGTTGTCATTCATAATATAATTAATAATTAATTAATTAATATGACTTCATAAACTATAACCATTGGATGGACGGAAATCAACAGCTAGGATGAAGAGTAAGACTTATAAATCTTACTCCGGAGTCAAATGATCTCTCTCCTACATATATATATATATATATATATATATATATATATATATATATATATATATGGGACAAATATTTTTCAAGCAGCTTGAAATAAGTATATCTCCGGCTACTCCAAAATTACGTCGTTTTATTTATTTATTTTCTTATATTAATCGATTCACCTTTGAATGATTATAATTTCTTTTTCTCTCTCTTCCTTTATCACCACTGATCCATCTTTGTACGGTTATGATTTAGTAGCCGGGCAGCTTGAGAAACAATAAGCCCTATATATAGAGGTGTTAAACAAACCACGGGCCTTTGGTTCGGCTCGTGAAGGCCTGAGCTTACATGTCTAAAATTGGTTGTTGACACAGACTTAGACTTTTATAAAAGCTCGTTTAATAAAAAGACCTCAGACTCCAATTAAAAACCTCGACCTTAAAGCCTCTCAGGGTGGCCTTGTATATTGTTTTTTATATTACTTGTAATAGTCATCTCTTTCTCTTCAATCCATTTCACCCCATTTTATAGGTTAAACAGACTTTTTGAATGATTTTGTTCTATATTATGTTGTTTGGATATAAATTGAATTTATGAATATTTATGGAATTACTAGGGTTGTTGATTGTATATTCTGTTTGGATAAATTTTTGTTGTCTTATTTTTTTAATACAGGCTAATAGGTTAAACAAGGCTTTTATTTTTCGTAAATAAGTCAGGCCACAGGCCGATAGTTATATTTATAACAGGTAACAGGCTTGGTCAGGCTAACACATTTAAACACAGGCTTAGCCTTTTAAGACCAAAGCTCGGCTCGGCTCGGTCCGTTAACACCCCTATATATATATATATATATATATATATATATATATATATATAGGGGTAAACATTTCTGCAGCCACTTTAGATAAGGTTATCTACAGCTGCCCTTTTTAACTAAGTGTGACCGGTCACACTTTAAAATTGCATTTTCTCTCTCCGCCACGTCAGTCAACAGTGTCTGAGGAAAGATAAAAAAAGAACAGCTTTATTGTTATAACTAAGTGTGACCGGTTACACTTAGTTAAAAAAGGACAGCTTTAGATAACTTTATCTAAGCACCACTAGGGATAGCCTAGTGGTGTTGGGTGTGTTTAGGGTGTATTAGGTGTGCGGTTCAATTCCCTGTAATGTCCACACACAAAAAGATAACTTTATCTAAAGTGGCTGTAGAAATACTTTTCTCATATATATATATATATATATATGGAAAAAATATTTCTCCGGCAACTTGAGATAAGTTTATCTTCGGCCACTCCAAACCTGCATCATTTTATTTATTTATTTCCTTATATTAATTGATTCACCTTTGAATGATTATAATTCCCCTTTTCTCTCTCTTCATTTATCACCATTGATGCATCTTTGTACGGTTATGATTTAGTAGCCGGAGATAAAACTATCTCAAGCAGCTTGAGAAATGATAAGCCATATATATATATATATATATATATATATATATATATATATATATATGGAGAAGGATATTGTAACAATCAATTAATGTTATTACCAATCAATTTCACCGTTAGATTGATTATCTTATCCAACGGCTATATTTATTTTCATCTTTATATGGATCAACATAATCGTTCTAACGGTGAAATTGATTGGTAGTAACATTGATAGTAACAATAATTAATTTTTACAATATTCTACTCCTATATATATATATATATATATATATATATATATATAAATTTATCTCTTATAACGTGATAAACTAAACTCATTAAATTTATTTCTTACTTTCTTGAATTGTTTTTTATGTAAGGGAATAAAATATTATATTTGAAAAAAGTTGTACTTTGAAAATGGTATATATGTAAAAATCAAGAAAGTAAGCTACGACAAAATAAAAGGTTAATTAGATCTTTAAACTCGTGTAAAACAACATGTGTTAAGTTTTTGCAACGATAATTATTTTTTGGGGTTGTAATTGTGATCTTGTGTGAGTAACAGTTTCATATATATATATATATATATATATATATATATATATATATATATATGGGTTTTATAAGAGTTATGTTGTAGGAAAAGTGATTGTGTAATGTTATAGAGATTCATTTTGCGTGCCTTAATCTTTTATTTATTTTTTTGTTTTAAAAAGTGTGGGCCCACAAAATGTTGTGAGAGTAGGAAAGTTTGTTGTGTTATGTTAAAGGATAAAACGAAAACCCTATATATATATATATATATATATATATATATATATATATATAACCATCGAAAGAAAATAGATATAAAGATGCCACCTGTTTATATTTGGGTGTGCCACCTGTTTATATTTGTGTGTTCAAATGTTTTTTTTTTTTTTTAAACCAAACCCTACTTACTTTTGAGACAAGTTGATTTCTTCGGATATTTCCATAAATTTTGACTTTTTGAGGCGACTATGAAACTAATCCGAAGTACGGGGCGGATCAGGGATGAAAATATTTAAATTCATCTTGCAAATGCTATGTGAAGATCGAACTGAAACTCTTTCATTTCTACTTGTTTAATTTCATTGCTACCAACTGAGCTACCACTGTTTCATAATTTACATCCGTTGCACCCATTTAGCCGTCACATTAAAAAAAAGATTTATCAATTTTTGTATTTATAAACTTTAACAAATGGTTTCCATCATCATATTCTAGATTCCACACAAATAACAAGGTGAGATTGTTTTTGTCTATGTATGTCATCAATGTTGCCACCATTAATTTAATGATTAAATTAACAATAAGAAAAATATTAGCATATGTTTTTGGTTTTTTTTTTTTATAAATCACTTGTATTTTTTATAGAAGTAATCTTGTTCGAGGTGAGTCCATAATTAAGGCTTTAAACCCTTCCAATGATGACACTAGAGATAATCGAACATATAATCTCTCCCCCCACATGTTTAGGTCTCATCCTCCAACTGAACTACTATCATTTGATATGTTTTTGAGTTGAATAAACATTTTACATGTATTAGAAAATAAGAGGGATATTAAAAAATATAATATAAAATTATTAATGTTTTCTTCACATAATATCTTATGTTTTTCATTTAAATTGACACTTTAGAAAAAAATAACCATGGAAATACATATTACGTGTCTATATCTGTCTATATAATTGTTATATGATATTCCTTAAAATTATTTTATTTTATTACATAAATTGTTTGTTTATTGTTTTATTTATATCATTTGTATCTTTCTTAACTTTTCATCTTGCCGATCTTTCTATTTTTATTTTTCTACATTTTTATAAATTTTACAGATAAATAGAAATGAAAGTAAATTAATTTTTAATAAATTATAAAAAATGTATTTTTATTATATATATTGATCTTAAATAGATAAAAAAAAGAAAATTAATATAAAAAACAT